CGGTGGTGCGTGCATTGCAGGATGGGCGACGAGGCGATGAAGGAAAGGTGTGATAATAACTGGCATCGAGGCTGGCCCTAGTTGACCCGCACGCTGGTGGTGAACATGTCTAGTAAACGGTGCGCTCTGTACATATGTGATAGTAGTAGTGATAATATTATACACTAACTCTGAACACCGTGTTCCCAAGAGTATTCCGGCGCACGCAAGCCTCTCGCGCCTTCGTATTAGACCCTATTAATATTCGTTATCAGAATTTCTATCGAAAGCAGAATGCGAAGTGGTAAGTAGAGAATCTAACCGTTACGCTGCGGTAGGCGGAGAGGGAGTGGGGACCGAACATGGAAGTGATTCGGAGGAAAGTTTCGAGAAGGCCAGGCTTTCTGTCCAATGTTGCCGTTGGTTTTTCTGTGGATCCTTGTCCTAAGTTGTCCATTGTCTTCGTGGTTGCCACAAGTTGCTACATTCTGTTGTTATTTTCGAGTGATGGAGTTTGAATGGCGGGACCGCGTACCGGGTGGGGCTAGAGCGAGCCGATGGTCAGGGCATCGGGGCCGCGCAGATGTGGATCCGATGCGAAGCTTGCTTTGTGTGTGCTTTGTGTGTGCGCACTGGTGAGGGATGACTTCGACCCAATGTGCGGCGCGTCAAGAAAGATATCTACGCACCTGCGATGAGAAGTAAGTAAGAAGCAATAAGCAATGAATGGATGCATGACGACGTACCGGGGATGTATGCGCGCGCTCGTGTTCGTCCGTGCACGCTGGGCTTGAGAGCGAGTGAGCGCGCAGTGCCGGAGAAGATCTTCAATCTTGATGCGCACTGGGCGGGCGTTGGGACTTGGGTGGACTCGCAGCGACTTCGCGTCGCGCGACGTTGATGTTGTGGCGGGAAGCTCGATCGGCCAGACGCGCGGCGTGGGTGTTTGCTTGAGGGAACTGAGTCGTGGGATGCGCGGAGTTGTTTTGAGTTGGGAGAGTCGTGCGCGGAGCCGGTGAGCGCAGTCGTGGTCGTTGAGGAGCGCGGGGTCGGTGTACGATAATTAGACGCTTTTCGCGTCCGACGTACCGCGTACGGGGATGCGTGCCCGAATGTGCATTCACGCCGTGCACGCGCGGATTGTTGTGGGGGATGGGCTTGAGCGCGAGTCGGTGATGATGAAGACGGGCGAGGGTGCGGCCTCGATGCGATGCGCGGAGGCCGGGCGGGGCCGTCTGTTGAGGAGCGGCGAGTGCGAGCTTGATCATGAATCCTACAGCACTAGCTTGAGTCTTGATGCGGAATGGGCGCCGGAATGTGGGCTTGCGCTGCGTCTTCAACCTTGTCTTGAGTCAGAGACGCGGCGGGCTGCTTAGTGAGGTAAATCAGCCCGACTTGCTCAAGGGTGGGCACAGCTGCTCGAGCCGGATGCGCGCGCGAGACGGGAATGCGGTGACGTGGAAATCGTAGGCGAGAGGGTGGTCTTGTGGAACATTCACAGTCGTTGCAGAGGTCGGCCGAGCCCAGCAAAGGCAGCCAGCGAGGGCCGTGAACGAGCTTCGTGAGGCGTTGTCGGTAAACGGCTTAAAACGGGCGGGTTAATAAGGGCGAGATGGAAGGCAGTCGTCGTCGCCGGTGAGTGGGCCAGAACTTGGTTCTTGCGGCGTTCTTGATGGGCTGCAGACATGGGTCGAAGGTGCCTCGCAGGACATGGAGGGACAACGCTGCTCGTCGCCGGCGACGTCGAGGAGAAAGTGGTTTCCGGGCCGGCATTCCGCCATAACTCGGCATCAAGCTTCCTTCCTCTTCCTCCACTCAAGAACTTCAACAAACGCAAAAAAGCCACCCCACGGAAGTGTCTAACTCTCCTCAAAGTCCGAATTGCTCATAGCTCTTGTGTCAACTTCGAGTCTCGACGACACTTTATCTCGCTGTCCATCGCATCCCGAGGATTTGAAACATCCAAAGAAATCGCGCTCTTCTTCGCCTAGGTCTGGGACGCAGCAGCTGCGCAGCCTGCGCTCTTCTTCGGCACTGCAGAATCGCAAATCCTTTGCCACACTGACCCAACACTTCGCCCCTTACACAACCGTGCAGAAAGCGGAGCAGTACGAACAACAACGAACGCCCTTCCCTTCGCAACCTTCAGTAGCAACAGTGGACCCGCGCCGCAGAGTCCGACTAACAACAGCTCCATCTTGGCATCCCGAGTCTTTGGCGCAACAAGAACCGGTGCAAATCTCGGTCAGACCATTGAAGCAGCCGCACAGTCTCTTCTGTGAGTTTTTCTTTTTTTTGGTCAAACTGTACAACGATATCGGATAGACTCGTCAGACGTGAGCTCGGTCTCGGGGATGGTACCCTTGAGCTGGAGGAGGCGGTTATCTGGGTAGAGGAATCGCGAGGGTCGTGGGCAAGAACGCGGTTGGTCGGGTCATCCCAAGGCATCAGACTCCGTTGGGCGGAGATCTTTGTCGCCCTGTTGAGCGCGACCTGGAGCTCCAGCTGAGGGGATTAGACTCGGGCCGCATCCGCCGCATTGTCTATTCGCCATTTGGCGTTAATGACATTTTCGTCGTGTGCGTTGACGGCGTTCTCGACCGATGCCTGGAATTCTTGGTAGGCGCGGTTTCCCAAGAGTACCACCTCCGCCTCGATGCCGTTGGAGGCATAATGATCGTTCTCGAAATTCCGGGGGAGAACGAGGTGGCGGCAAGTGACGAGGAAGAGAGTCGACAAGTCTCGTTGGTCTCGAATGAAAAAGCCCCCGGTTCCCTGTATATCGAGATTCAACGCCGGCGAGATGGAGAGGCCGAGTGTAGGGGTCAACGACTCGCGAATGCTGTATGTTGGGTCCCCGCGGTGCACTGGTTCGAGGAGCGCAGGGCCAACCGAGCGGGTGACCACGGATTCACGAATTTCAACATTGATGTTTGTGATGTGGTACTTGAAGAGAACTTCGCGGCACGCGGATGCAACGACGACGCCTTGTTCGCCCGTGAGCGATTCGGGAATGACCCCGATCCAAAGTACCACTGCAGGTTCGGAGCTGGTGGACGACATCGAGGGAAGTCCATTCGACACTTTGGGAACTCAAGACTTTGATGACCTCCGACGTTAGAACCTCCTCCCACACATCGTTTATAGCATGTTTCCCGATGGGGCGCAGTTCCTTTGGACGTGGATATGTTTCTGGGCCGGTGGCCGGGTGCCATGGTGCACCACTCCGGGCGACCAACCGCGGATTCGAGGGCAGCCCGCGGTAGTAAAGACCGGCTTCGAGGGAGGACAGGGGGACGGATGGAAGGGACATGTCACTTGAGAAAAAGGTCAACTTCAAATGTTTGAGTTCAGTGAATCTACACAATAGTCGTTTGGCGGGACACTGCCACTGAATCTTCGTCGTTTAGATTTCCTTCCTATTGCAAAACAAGATTCACGCGGTTCAGCTGCGGAGGGTGAAATGGAAGGGTTGCTGCGCGCAGCTGAACGCGCGCTCAGCAGGGACGCAGACAGGGTGCTCATCGTCTCTGATTCGCAGGCCGGTCTTCGCGGCATTCTCTCTACGATGCCGCGTGCAGGGCAATCCCGTGCCATCGCCTTCGACGTACTCATCCGCGAGGCCATGGACCGCCTCCCTAGTCTGCGCATCACGACACTCTGGACCCCCGCCCATATTGGCACGACTGGCAATGAGTTCGCGGACGATGCGGCGAAAGCCGCCACCCGCCTCCCCCCGTCTCAGTCCCTCGCCATCTCCCTCACCTCGTGTAAACGTCGTATCGACCTTTCCATCCTCGAGAAGTGGGGAATCATGTGGAAATTCTCATCCACCGGCCGCGGGCTGCGCGAAATCGATAACTCACCACCCTCCCTCATCCTCCGCTCGCCATACACCTCCTCGGCATCCCGGGCTGATATTTCCCTCATGTCGCGCTTACGTACCGACTTTTCCGCTCTCAATGCCCACCGCTTCCGATGCCGCCTCGCCCCGTCGCCATCGTGCGACGCCTGCGGCGCCGCGTACGAGACCCGCGCACATTTTCTGCTGCACTGCCCGGCGTGGGAGCACCTACGTCCCCCGCTTCAGCATGCATCATATAGCGCCGGTCTTCTGGGAGCAGTTGACGTTCGATCCCTCCTCACCAACCCCAAGTTACTCAAAGCCACTGCCCGTTTTATCACCGATACGCGTAGATTTAGCTGAGCTCTTTCTCCTTTTCTCCTCTCTCTCCCTTTACAATATTCCTGAGACTTAATCTCGCCATCCCGCAGAACACCAACATGCGACGTCCCCATCCACATTTGTACACGACGCACTCCATACAGTCTTACTTACCACGCCCTATTTCCCATCCCGCGTCCAACTTTTTCCTTTTTCTCTCCCATTTAGATAAACAAGCACCTTAGAATACCCTTATAGCTACTCAAAACCCCTACCTACTTCGCGTAGAGTACTGCCGCGTAACCCTCGGGTCAGGTACGGCGTTACATAGAAATTAGAATAGAATAGAATAGAATAGCTGGAATTCACACGGTTCACATTACACACTCACGCAGAAAGACTACATACCATTGACATACCATCGAAATACCTCCTTGCATCAGTCCTTAGTTTCGGAAACAGCGCCGAGGTGGGAGAAAAGAAAAACCGTCACCAATCATTTATGACCCAACCCCGAATCGCACGAGGGTCTCTTGGCACTTGCTTACACTATTCATCTTTCGAGTTCACGCAAGGCAAGAGAACTAACCATTGTGCTATTGAGTTCATTGGCTGACTATCAAAATACTGAAACAAAAACAAAATCCACACGGTTCAAGCTTGGAGTTCCGTCAAGTGCACATTCATGTTAGAAATTGTGATAGAAAGCCATATGCATATCATCGAAATACCTTCCTACCACAATTGTTACTCGAGGAAGCCGCGCTACGAGTTCCAGATTTAGAGGTGAAAGACGGGGAGGTGAAAGACGGGGAGGTGAAAGACGGGGAGAAAAAAGTTCGAGCACACATGGACATAACCCAACCCCGAATCGAACGAGGATCTCTCGCCTAAACTTCACCTTTGACATGCTAAGTCAAGCAAGCGCACTAACCACTGTGCTACTGGGCCACCGCTCCTATTCTCCTTGACTATAACTACTCAACGAGGAAGTGATTTGATTTGATTCTTCGTTGAGTAGCGTCGAGTACGCCCACGAGCAGAAATTGCGCACGAGTCCTTCAAGCCGTGATTTATATTCGAGAGCGAGCACACTAACCGCTGTACCATTAGGTCTGCCGCTTTTCCGCTAGTTACTTGGGATGGACTGACATGGAATCATGGAATACTAACACTCTTCTGGTGGTGACAATTCAAGTTTCTCGTGGCACCCTTCCGGATCGTTTGCGCGCAAATAGACCACTTAGTGAGTGTCCAAGGGTACGGCTGAGGTTCATTGACTTCTCACTGCGATTTAGTGTTCGAAGAACGAGTCGTTCAATATTTTCGAAGAGTAAAATATTTGGTTGTCCCAGGAATTCACCTTCAATCCTTCGACTCGGAAACGAAGATGCGATGCATGTTGATGCAGTATTCAAGTTGCTTTAGTCGGACTTGGGCTTTGGTGGCAGGTGCAGCAGCGCTGCGACGGCGAGAGATAGGCTCAATGAAATTGATATTTCGCTGCGCTACGAAAGATTCAGCCGATTCCAAGGGTGTAGCGCGTAGGGTCGAAATAAAAAGATGAAGACGAGCAAAATAATTAGATTCGAATTTGGGTAGAAGGAAATTAGATTCATCAAAGAGAATAAACGGACGACAGACATGCGTTCATACGCAGATGGATTCCTTTATACCGTACCGCAGTCCCCAGCAGTCCCCAGCTCCCACGTGAGGGAGGTATACGTGCGGCACGCCCACGGGAGGAAGTGAGTAAGAAGTGATAAGGATGAATGAGATGAATGAATGGTGGCGTACCGCGACTCGGACTGTACGCTGTACGCACGGTCGAGGTAGGTAGGAGGGTTGGGCTGGACCTGAGTCTCGAGCTTGAGAGAGAGTGATGCGGGTTCAAGTTCGTTGCAGCGCGTAGAGGCCGGGCCGGGTGCTAACCGCCGGTCGAGAAGTGGGTGCAAGGGCGGCGGAAATTGCCCTTGCCCGTAGGGAGCTCGGGGATACCATGCGACGATTTCTCACATCGGGCGCCTGGGGTCGATCTCTACGGCATGTGCCTAAGAGGTAAGCCGTGACTTGAGGCGGGTGGACGCGCGTGGTTGGTGCGGGCTCGATACGGCGCGCGGAAAGAGAAACGTCCGTCGAGGAGCGGCCAGAAGGCTTTGATGCGCAATGGGCAGGCACCAGGACTCGGGCGGCAATGCGCTGCGTCCTCAATTTCATCTTGAAGGCAAAAGAGACGCGCCGGGCGTGCGGCATTTGATGTGTACGGGTGGCGTGACGGTTCGATGCAAAGCTTGGGCGCGAGGAAGGTCTTGAATCTTCATGTGGATGCGGATCCGGGTCCCGGCACAAGATTGTTCTCGGGGCAAACGACACCGGATGGGGTGCTCGGTTCGGGCGTCGCTGCGCACGGGTTCCTGAATTGAATTGGGTCGCTGGGACTCGGATGCGCGATCGATTTGAGCAGTTGCTCGCGGTGGGCACCGGTGAGCGTGGGCGCGCGATGGGCGTGCGTTGGTCGTTTCTGAAGATCTAAAGGTCCGCGATGCGTGACGGCGAGGAGCTGCTGCAGGTGTTGGTCGAAGTCACCATGACGAGGGCTGGGGAGCGCTTTGAATACAACAACGGTGGGTACGGGCTCGATGCGACGTGATGCGTCGATATTGTCCTGTGGTAGGCTGCTGGAGTCGGGCGGGGCATGGGCGTTGCAGCGTGCGTGCATGGGATTGAGACGGATGTACTCGAGGTGAGTTGAGGGCGGTGTCGGCGTGCGCGAAGTCGGTGAGTGCGGATAACATGGGACAGGGCGGGCGATGGGGTCCTTGTGGGACGTTCTTGATGCGCTGCTGACGTTGGTCGAAGCTGGGGAGCAGGGCTGGGAGAGAACGAGGTTGACTCGTCCATATTCCCCAGATGTTCATCGTACGAGTGTAACATTTTAGTTTACACGACCAGGTCGCGCCGGGCGACGCACTGGCACGGGCACCGTCCAAGTTGAGGGATTGATCACGCCTACTACATACGCCGATCACCGGTACCGAAGATACTGATCCCTTGACGCGGCCCGACTCGGCAAGTTGAACTTCGGCCATCTCGGGCTTGTTCATTCTCGTTCGCGGACGGGAGTAAGAAAATCTTTGACGTGCTAGAAGGAGGAGTACATAATTGATCCGAAGGAAACATAGACATCGCGCTCATCTTAGGCAAAAGACTCGGGAGAGTACTCGAGTAAACACCGAAAAGAGAGGGATCTATTTAAATAATGTGCACTCTAAACACTTGTATTCGGTGTACATATTCGGTTAAAATGGGATTGTAATACCATCTATTCTTTGACATCCAAGAACTGATCCCAAAGTTCATCGCACGGGGTGTCCTGGGAGGCAAATCAGTGCAAAGCCAACGGAAAGGCAAACACACATTCGACAGTGGAACGCTACCGCTGTACGCCAACTTGGCCAAAGTTGTGGTCGTGCTCCCGGGGACGTATTTAGGCCAACTCGGAGCGGGCGACGTCGTGGGGTCCCTGACAGAGTTGCAGATCGTCTGCATGGTGGAGTAGGGGGGTCGCCTCGTCGGTGGTCACCCCCGTGCGATTGTAGGTGCCGAAATCTCGAAGACTGTAGCGGGAGGGTAGTCAGTATGTGCCGGCGTGGATGTTCGAAGTTGAGACGTACGATCGGAGGAGTACCAGCAGCCGGCACTGACGGGAGGGTTGCATTTTGGCAAAGGACGCGCCTACAAATTCGATCAATGAACAACCGTAGGGAATCGAGGAAGCTGCATACTATATGCATGCCGATACACGTCCGGCTGGCCTGCGTCAACACTAGCAGCACTCCAAAGCTCCGGCGGGCTGCAAAGACGTTAGAGGGTGAGATGAACAGGGTGGGGAGAAAATTGACCCAAGGAGGAGCAAGTACTTAACCAACTTTGTTGTCGCTGAGATCACAAAGTGCGCGTACTTGGGCCGGAGTAACAGCGGTGCCAAAACTTGCGGCGAGGTAGGCGGTGAGGTTGTTATCAAGCGTGAAAAGGTGTCTTCGTGTTTCCAATCATGAAGGGCACCCCAGCGGCTTCTTATCCCACAGGGTCACACTTGGACTGGTTGCGAGTTCAGGTCAATCAAATCATATGGACTCAGCTGTGCAATGTTCTGCTGCACCCACTGGAGCGCGCGCTCTGCAGGAGAGTTGAGTCGGAACTCGAGAAAGTCATCTCCCAGCGGTATTCGCCTTTATCAAGCAACCCAAATTATTTCCAGTCAGGGAAGGTCCGGGGCAGTGGGAGATCCAAAGACATTATAATTGGTTCGTACTCTGGATCGGACGAACCTCCAAAAGCTAGGCCACTACAGGGAGATTTAGAATCGTATACGAGGTCCCTATTGTATTACTCACCCGCCGTAGATCCAGGTGGGGACCGGTGTCGGGGTGGTTGACATGGTGGCCCACACATTGCTAATAGTTGAAAGAACAGATTAGTTGTTCCTCAAAAGGCTGTAAAGTAATTGAATACGCACAGGAACAAGCAATCCTCTCCCATAACTTGAAGTGGTGGGGTATTCCAGATATTCTCCCAGACCGAAATAGCGGCGGTAGAGAGTGGGATTCCTTGAACACAATTTGCACCAAAACTCATTGCATCCTGAGATGCAGTCGAAGTGAACGAGAGTGAACGCGACCGGTGGCTCCCGACGGAGGGATCCCGTTGGAGTCTGTCCAAATCATTGTAACATTGTCAAACAATCATTGGAGATGAAAGAGCCATACGTACGATGCCCTTGAACGTCGAGACCGCGAAGATGGAAATCGAGGTGCGAGTGAGCGCCCGGTGAAACTAACGTCCATTGGTCTGCGAGCCTTGCAATAGGCCGGACGTTGTTTGGACAGAAATGGAGGCCGCCCATTGAACCAACAGAGAGCTGAACGGCGAACGCAAAGGCGGGGGTTAAATCTTCTTCCTGGGCTGCTGGACATTCGTCGTAGTGAACACGGTTCATTCAAGCTTCACCGCGTTTAGCATGTCGAATACTGGGCTCGAAAACGCGGAAAGTCGGAAGGACGGCATCCGCCGCCTGAGAAACTGGTGGGATTTCGAATATCCGGGCGACGTGAACCGGGGAGGGAACATCAGCAAACAGTGTTTTGCGCAGTAGCTTTAGGCCTCAGTTACAAGTCCACGGTAACCCTGGTAGCCATTCAGCCAGGTCGTGGTAGTGATTGGTAGCCGTGGTAGCTCATTGGCTGCAGCATAGTAGCCATAGTAGCTCTAGTACTTCTTATGCTAGAAACCAGTAGTTCAAGTAGTCTTCTGTAGGAAAGC